ATCCTTACTCTTGGGTTTACTTGGCCTTCCCAACCAACGGAGTTCACCGACATGGATTCAAGACCTGCACCAATCCCTGTTTTGGACCAAAAACTGTAGTTCAGCGCCTCTAACTTAAAATAAAGCATCTATGCAGCAAAACTAGCATAAAGCCCATAGTAATTACCGATGTCATAGAAACCAGCTTTTATAGCAGCAGCAACATCTGCTACTGCCTGTAGCCCCGATGAGCATTGGCGGTTCACAGTTCTCACAGGAACGGTCTCTGCATCAGCAAAGAGGAAATTAAGGAAGTAGAAATCGCTGTACATAAAAAAAGAAACCCGTTCTTTCAAATGAGGTGGCATATATCATACTCCATATGATTTTGAAAGCACAGTATTTACCAGGAATTCCGGCCAACAGAGATGCAGTCCTGCACTCAATCGCACGCTGAGAACCTGGGCCTAGCACCGTCCCGACCACAACATCGCCGATTTGAGCTGGGTTGATTCCAGTTTTGTCCAGAACAGCCTATGCATGGGAATGTGCAGTGAGCAACAATCTGAGAATGCTGTCCTCTCGGTTTGAATGTGCCAGTATATATTTGTACAAAGAGGTACGGAGTACATGCTAAGTGCAAACCTTGAGAACTGGGGTAAGAAGGTCCTCCGGGTAGGTGTCCTTGAAGCCCCCTCGCTTGGCCTTGCATATCGGCGTCCGGTAGGCACTGCGGGTGACACAGCAAAGAAGAAGAAAGTAATAATCAGAACAAACACGGCATCCATTCTATGATCATTCTGTTCCGTGATTTGCATTAGCATGGTGCACCCATAAAGAAGAGCGCTCCGCATGTCCAGAACCTAGCTTCTACACGATTTGGACAGCAACTGTGATAATGAGCTAGTCGCTGGCAGAGTACAAGATCTGAACTCTGAGCTGTGTGGTGTCTGTGGATCAAGCGTTTGTTCTTGTAAAATAATTCGCAAGATCATCTAGCATGCTTGGTGTGCTTGTAAAACAGTAGTATAAAAGGTTAATTACTAATTAGGGTGTGGGGGAAAAAATCAGTCCCCTCCCCTGCATATTTGACCACCTGAAGTGAACTCAACTACAGTTGGGGGAGTCGGCTGGCTGTCTACCAGCTGAAAAACCAAGTAATTCCGTCCCTTGAACTAGAGGAGTAGAGGATACAAATCGGAACTAGCAGCAATTCGCCTGGGGCAAGAAGAGAATGATTCATGATTACATGGGCGGGTAGGTAGTTGGTAGGGAAGGAGGGGGGATGGGGCTTACGCGACGATGACGACGTCGTCCCCGAAGCAGGAGCTCCGCTGGTAGGCGGCGCTGTCCCCGGCCGCGCACGCCGACGCCTGCACGCACAAATCAACCATTCAGCTCGTCAAGCACCCGCCTGAGTAAAAGAAAAAAAGAGGATCGCGGGAGAAGGAAGAGGGGATAAAATCACGGGAAGATGAGATCTCACGGATAGCTGGGCCTGGCTGGATGCGGAGGGGAGGAGGTGCGCGAGGAGCACGCGCTGCCGGTCGATCGCCTTCTCCATGGAAGAAGCAGGG